TATTTAACTCCACGTCTTTTGTTTGCGTGTGTGTGCTCCCTCAGGACGTCTCTAGCACAGGCTTCACTTGTTATCCAGTGTATCTACATGGGCAAGCCGTAGGTTCTGGCAACGAGAAACAAGTGACGGGGCAGGGGCCAATTAAACAGCAGTGACGTCAGTCCGGAGGTAACTGTGCGGGGCTCTGTATGCTGGTGCCAGATCGATAAATCGATTTAATGATTTCTCATCGGAGGCTCAGGCTTCAGTCAACTCCTGACTTGCCTTGCTTCTGGCATGGGCGATTATCTTCGGGACTGCGAAGTTAAGCTAGTGACCCCTTTCGTAGGTGTGGAGAGCCACTTGTGATAATCCGTCACACGATCTTACAACAAGCTTATGCTCGTGCATGCGTGATCCAAGCATGCGTCTGTCCTGTGTAGTTTCGAGGACGCCCGACTGCTCACTAGGATTTAATCATTGCGCATGGTGACCTTGGGCCATTGTGTAATTTCATCACCCAGCCCCCCGCAGCAATGTGCTCGGTCGCCTCTAATACGTACTTACGTACGTACCGTATGAGCTGGTTCTGGTTGGGTCCTCGGGGGGTGAACGCTTAGGCATCGGCTAATGAACGCCATCGAGTAGCCGTTTCGCAAAAAGTAGTCGCGACGTTGGACCTCGAGGAATTAAAAATTCCACAACAGCGGGTTGTTGGAGTATATTTTAATTTAGCAAAATTCGTGTCATTAAAAAGTATAGCGTTTTGTGTGTCACTCATGAAATGTGTCATCTCATGTTGAACGACTTGGTATAGCATCTTTCAGGGGTAATCCGAATATACGCTTCGGTAGAGAGCCTTTTTAGGCATTTCAGTCACGGGCTGTCTTTCACAAGGCTGTATGATAGTCTTCCTGTCGTAACCTGTTGTATTTTGGTTAAACTAAAACGTCTGAGGATCTCGCCATGCCGGTACTTAGATGAAATCTACGAACGATAACTCCGGTTATAACTGGGGTGGGTTTAAGTGGAACTTACTACGGTGTATGCTTCTCCTGCTTCATTCTTATGAGACAAACTTGTATTTTTCTCCTGAGGGAATGTTTTTAGTTCCGGAAAAAGAAATTTTCAGTATCAGTATATTAATCAGGTGCTTTCGAGACGCTGAACTTGGTGCTATCCTTTTTGCCCTAAATTAATGACGCGATTCTTTCCTGCATACATTTACTTAAGGTTATAAGCACAAATAAAGTCAATCTTTTTGAGGCGCAAATGGT